GCCTGTATGCCAACCAACCTTACCCCAACAGTCAGCGACATAACACGTCACATAGGGGACGCTTGCATTGAAGTTCTGAACACATTGAAAACGACGAGCTACGGGCCACAGCTTCCAATATGTTGTCTTCATTATCTAAACGCTTTGTCGATGACGACATGATTTTTTTGAACGCGGCAGCGACATCATGAATTTGTATGAGTTTGACATAAAAGAAGAGGAAGAACCTTATCTGTCGCTGGAAAAATAGAAATAGATCTAATCTGGCCACAACCACAGTCGTCGCGTAGCCTGGTCGTCGCCAAAATAATTATCTACATAAGAGTACGTGTTAAAATAATTTGACAGCTGTGTAGCTCGTCGTTTTCATTGTGTTCGGGCTTTGTGACGCAACCGGAAGAAATCGACCATCTCGCTATTTTTGACGTGCACCGATGCGGCACAAGAACGAATTATAACAACATAATTTTTGGGCAGTCAAATTGAGCCGTTTTGTTGCAGCAAAGTTTTCTTTGTGCCATCTCTCCATGGTCTGTGCATCTTGTGAGTGAAAAGCATTCCTGCGACGCAGAAAAGGTTTTCTATCTGGCGGGACCTTAACGCATTTCTTTTCATACAAAGTTCGGATATTATTTGATGGAAAAAATTGCCGAAAATCAACGGAATTTTTTAGCAACTTCATAGCTGAAATACAATACCGGCGAACTCACCACAGCGAAATTCGCGCTGTCAAAATTAAAACACCAAAAAGCATATGAAATTGAATACAGCCAAAGCGAAATGCGAAGTTCGCTCGGCGGCGTTTCATGGCGATAGATTTATTTCAGTGGTGCACACGGGAGTCTCAGGGAGCCACTCGGCTTTCATGAACAAGTTGTGTGTGCTACCGAACTCAAGGTGCCCACACTCACCGACGTGTACGTATACCGTGTCTGTTCGACGTAGCAACATATAAAATCTACTGTCGATAGAGGAAGAGAGAAGCACGCGTAACCGTCGCACGTACACGGTGGTGTCAGGCCAAACTACGTACGCTAATGTGTCAGCTGACACGATCAAACTTTTGAGAGCGCCATGTAAATGAAAACTCACCACCGTGTACGTGCAACGGTTACGCGTGCTTCTCTTTCACTCTATCAACAGTAAATGTTATATGTTATATACGTACACGTCGGTGAGTGTGGGTACCTTTATGCGCCACTAGCAGCCGGCCAGTTTGCGTTTGTATTTCATTCTGTAAGCAAAAATATTGCGATTGTATTGGAATCTCTGCCAACGTTGTGCACCACTAATCTATTTCTATCGCCCTCACGATTGAGAGAATACAAAGGTTGCGCCGATCTCGGACCGCTATTCCGCTACCGAATTTGACAGAATCGGTGTTTGCATGACGTCACACTTGTGCAACTTGTTTACGTTTTCCTTGCAACATTTTTTCTTCTTCTTCCATTCTTGCTCCCGTTTTGGCATTTCTCTCTCGCAATTGCACCAGTGTGACGTCACACAAAAGTTATTCTCAAAAATCCTCTCTGATCGGCGCAATCTTGTATTCTATCATTCTTGTATCGCCCTGTTGGGCGATGACAGCTGTACGTGCCAAAGGTTGCCGCATTTCTTTTCTGCTTTCAAAGTTTTAGAAAGAAACAATATAAACATGAATTATTTTTGTTGTTTGAAAAATACAGTAGTGGATTCGTAAAATCTGGCTTGAAATAAAATAATTTATAATAATCTCTCTTTATTTTAAATTTATATTTGTTATCATTTCCTCATTTCTAAATATGGTTTAGGTTTTTCTAAATATGGTCACCCAAATTAATGCAACCAAATGGTATCGCTGTTTTCGCTACCGCTCTAATTCTGTTTAAGTAGGCGAACGGTGAACGACAGCATCGCCCAATTCTACGAAGTTTGCTGTTCGCCGGTTTTGTATTTCAAGCATAACACTGCGTACCATTTTTTTTTAATTCTAGTTAAAAAGTTTGAAATTTGGATGCATGTGGTTTTTGTTAGATAATGAGGTATACGTTTATAAATAATTTATCAACATTAAACAATCACAGGAAAAATAGTCAAAGCTAATCACAAAGTCGCGTTTCTATTGTTCTGACGCAGTCCCTATGCTATTCCAAAAAACATTTATTTTTAAATTTTCTGTTCTAAAAATTCTTTTTGCTAGTAACAAACGCCTCGAATTTTCAGCAAACTCTTCAATTATTGTCTTCTCATTCATCTCGCGGTTTTCGTTAGTACAAAAAGTCATTCGTCTCCTAATTGCCGTTCATCTGGGCATGCAGTATCACTTGCATCACTATACTCAATCTCGACTCTTGCGTGCCTGGCCAATGTACATAAGCAACCCATGTGTGAGATGTGATAACCAACTCGTTTGAAGCCTTCGTTTATGGCAGAAAAAGAGGGGCTTCGGTAGGAGCCACTCAGATTTATTCGGTTTAAGGGCTCCGTAAAGTCAGCAGCATCTGTTTAGCTTTAGATCGTCTCGCTATATAAATGGGCCTCTTTAAAAACTGTCCCAGCAATGTGTTATGTACTAGATTTGGGATCCGTAAGGTAAAATACAGATCCATCGGGAAACCAAAAACAGCCACCGTTAATTGCCCCTTAATTTTGACGACCCACCACACGAAACAAGGACTACACTGTACGAATACGCGCTTGGAATATAAAAGGTGCCTCTATACAATATCGCAAAAAATTAGGAAAAAGTTTTTTTCTTAACAGCGCACATAGGGGTATTTGACCAATTTAGGCGGCCAAAATTGTTTATGAAAATTTTAACTCAAAATGTTTAGAAACGACGTGTTACGATATTTAAAACTGTAAATATT